GTGACACTAACTTGAGAAAGTCTCAAGCACCAAGCTTTTGGGAGTTTATCTGGATCAGGAACTAACATGGCAAGAACACATAACGAATCTGTTGTCATCGTGTTACGGTGCTTTAGCAGTACTACGGAAACTAAAAAACTTCGCACCATACCACATAAGAAAACGACTGGTGGAAAGTCTTATACTCTCTAAACTGGATTATTGTAACGTTGTGTTTAGTCCTCTCCCGGAGTACCAGACCAAACGCCTTCAAAGAGTACAGAACACGTGTGCGGGTTTTGTGTTAACTAAATTTGCTGGACTCCAGGATGTTAGAAAGCTAGGTTGGCTCACAATCAAAGAGCGTTTAAAATTTAATATAGCCAAGGTAGCGCACAAGTCATTATATAATGAGGACTCTCCACTAAAACTCAAGCAACACGTCGTAAATAGATATAGTCTTAGGTCATTAGCTGCACCAAAATTAGAACTTGCCAACAAAATTGAGAAGAACACTCTACAAGATCAAGCTTCAGAAGCTTTTAATAAGCTTCCTGCGGAGCTACGGAATTGCGGTGACCATGCACTTTTTTGTATAAATCTTAAGAGACACATTCTGACATGCAATGGATAATCTAGTATAGTTTTTATTATTCACTATTTTATCAATTTTGATTTATTATAGTTAGTTTTTATAATAGTAGCGAAGAGCGACAATATGGAAGTATACTAATAAAGGTCATTATTATTATTATTATTATTATTATTATTAAAGTCGAAACGTCGTCGTCCTTTATTCGTAATTTTTAATCTTAAAATGGTTTTAAGAAATGTTTTATCGTAACTTTTTAATGATAAAGTTGAAAAGTTTGAAAAATTAAAAACCATCTTGGTTTAAGAAAAATGCGATGGCATTTCGACGTTCGCTTAACGTCATTATCAAGGCACTAATGAGTGAAATGACAACGAATATAAATGTATAAGATTTCCTTAGAGACACGTTAACAAAATGAAAATATGCAAACAACAAAGTATTCGTGCACAGTCACATATTCGCATGCAAATTCGCGTAAAGAGTTTGGCGCGAATAGTCTTTTTGAGTATTTAACTGGGGGTTCAATTCCTTAATGAATAACATCTCAAAAATTAGAAAATCAAACTTTAATTTACATTTATTTAGAACAGAAAATTGCTTATCAGCCAAGTCAGTCTTTAATAGACCATGTTGCTCAAGATGCCTTCTTCCGATTGCAGAGCATTTGCGTTCGTTAATGTGCTGGTTTAAATGTCGGGTGCACCACCCGACATAATCTGCGTTGCACAGATTACATTCAAATTTGTAAACGACGCATATTTTCATCTTGTTATCCGCGTCTCCATCGAATTCTTTTATATATGTATTCGTTCTCATTTCACTCCTTCAAGTAAATTCAAGTCAATTTTTATTTAAATTTACACAGAATAATAATCATTATTGACTTGATAATGACGCTAAGCGAACGTCGAAACGTCGTAGCATTTTTCTTAAACCTTTAACCAAGCTGGTTTTGAATTTTTTAAACTTTTCAACTTAATCACAGTTCTTTATAGTTAAAAGTTTTCAGGGCTTTGAAGAAATGTTTCTCAACCCTAGTCTGCCTGCTTTGGGACAATTTGTTAACTGCTGCTCAAAAGCTGCCTTCATATTTTTCTTTTTTCTCTCACTTGGTTGATGATTAATTTCACTCGTCTAGCTCTATGCACATGTGAATGACTGTTTCATCGCGACCTGTGCATGTTTTGGACAATCATTTCAAAAATTTATCTTTCTTGCTGTCGTTTCTCTATTTGGCTTAATCTCCTCCGTTTTTCTCTATTGTATGTGTAGTTTCGACGGTTCATCATATCAAGCCTTGACCAAGAAACTTTTAACTGAAGTACGGGCAGTTTACGGCAAGAAGAAGTGGAGGAAGTCAACCATCAAAGGTTAGCCTCTCATAATTTCTTAACAAGAGCAGTGGAACCTCCTCCAATAAGATACCAGCTGGCCATATAGAATTTATATTGCTATTTTTCTATAAGAGCCTTTTTGAAGGTACTATGTGCAGGCAATCGAGCCTCTCAGACAAGTAGGTCAAAATAGATTGCGAGCAGTCTCTTTGCTCTAAAATCCGGGGCAATGAAGGTGAAAATATCGAAAATGTGCGTTATACATCTTTGGGGCGCCAGCTTAACTCTCCCAGTACTTTTACTTATTTTCTTATTTATCCTCATTGGCTTTCCATAGAGCAAAAGAGAGACTGCTCGTAGGCTTCGGTCAATTTAGCGTCATAACCCTACCTGTAGCGAACCTAAGTATGCTGACTAACAAATAAAATTCATCGATTCAAATCTTGATTCGCCTTCAACTATACGTACGGTATGTCCCGGCGAGATTGCTTGTGTGATGTGTAGCTATATAAGAAAATTTTGTTTCCAAAAAGGGATTTTGACGGATTGAAACGTTGAAGCTATATTTGAACACAAGTCAATTTTTAAAGCGAATCGAAAGCTGCCAATGCTGTAAGGTGCTATCGCTGATTAATGATATTGGGCGGCAACCACTTTTTCTCGGAGTAATTTCTACCAAGTAGTGTCGACAGCATGCTTCGTCAACTAACATAGTCTATTTGTTTTGAATTAGCTGCGGTTCATCAGCATTGGAGATCCATAAGAGATGATAAAACAAAGAAAGCAAACAACAGCTTTGAGAAGCACCGACGGCGAATCATGCGAAGCAATCGTTTAAAGAGGGTATATAAGGCCAGATTGTTAACCTTTACTACTTTGTCTCTAATGTTTTAGGACAAGTCACTTAAATCCATTACAACAAGAGAAAATATGATTAATACCGTTATTATTTTTTCTTGGTAACAACTCTGCGCGTGTATTAAATCAGTTGGCTCCGATGATGTTTAACTGCTACAATGTCAACATGGTTTTCTTCCAAAGCTTGAGCTATGTGGCTGATTTTTGTGTCTTTTGCCTATTTCAATCCTAGCAAGCTCATAATCGAGCTTTTCGTGACACTGAAATGGTAGTTATGACAATTTTAGCAATTATTTGACTTCTCAATAGTGCTCCGACAAGGTTCTCACTTGTCTCGATCTTTTTTTCCCTTTAGAAACTTTCTGGACAACTCGACAGTGCTGTCTGATGGAGACAAGAAAAGGGCACGAGAAATTCTGTCTTCCCCAGAAGCATTACATTATATGTCGTCAGAAGAAAGCTGCGAAGAAGAGGCAGTAGAAACAGGGGGTGACCCAACACCACGAAAAGTCAGAAAACTTTCATGGGAGAGGAGCCAGCTGAGGAACATCAAAGTGAAACTGGATAAGGCGTATTTTGCAGCACTAACTGAGAAGCAATGTCGTACAACTGCACGTGTGAACCCGACTGTGAATGAATCATCACGCCCTCACCCAACTAACGGCCCGCGTTGGGCTGTCCGCAGCGACTAAGTCGAGACATTTTTTCAGCACATTTGACATTTTCTATATACTAGCTACAAAATTTTTTTGATGTTCATTTGTTAACAAAAGAGTTGTAGGCATATTTTGC